AATTTTGAAAAACATAAACTGTCAATAATAAATGACATACCAGCAAGTATGACGACTGTTCATTATCAGATAACAATAACATTTTACAACTGACGGTTCCTTATCAAAATATTCTAGGACTGTTCATCATAAATATTTTATGTCATTTTAATATTATTGAATGATAATAATTAACAACTGCACGTGATGCAACATTTTTATTGAACATAAAAATTATACACGTTTAGATGTACCATAATTGAGATCAATAACATACTGTCTTGTGATGAGTATTAACATTCATGCTCTACGGACAGAAGGTTGTCTTCTTCAGAAGCAAATCTCGAATAAAATCACGTTTCAGAAAATTAATCCCATTTCATTACTGACGGCGTCGGATAATATTAAAGCTAAATATTTCTTGAAAAAATACATCTCTGCAAAGCTTATTCAAAACTGAATCAACCTAAGTGAAAATTGATCAGGAAGTTATATCTTCTTTTTTTACCGCCAACACTCAACACTCAACCAACTTATGGTAGTTAATCGATAGATTCTACGTGTATTTTTAAACCTCACTAGCTTGAAATATATACTGCGGAAAATCTGTTGTTAACAGGGTGTGCGGTTATTACGTAGGGTTTTCCCTGTCGACCATTTCCCGCAAATAGATGAGAACATCGAAGCCGTCAGTGCTATGAATGGTGTTATAAATGGCGTGTTTTGGAAGTTTTTGTTGAAACTTCTCCAAATACCTCCAGAGGCGTGCACGTCGCGGAGAAGGCACACGGAAGGTCATAGTCAAGTCATCATAAGTACCAGAGGTGATTGGTTGACCTGTAGTGACTTACTCTGGAGGTTTGGCGCTAATAGATGCCGTTTTTGTTGTCGTCAGTCAGAAAGTTGATGCCTTGACGGTATTGTCGTCTCCTTTACCACCAAAGAACGAAGAATGGGCTTCCAGGAAGAATCTGCTTGAAAAAGACATCCCAGATGCTATAATCTCGGACATATGGTTATTCCGGCGCCGAGTATAAATAAACTTAAAACACACACACTTTTGTTGAAAACAAAACAACAACACATTTTCTGTAGTAATTTTTCAAGTGTTGTAAAATGAATAAGAAATTCCTCTTATGCCGCCCATTATTTTTAGAACACAACCATAAAAGTTCTTTTTTTTTATTTTTCAAATAAACATTTATCACTTCAGCGCGAGCAAATATCGGTTTCAAATTAAAGTTTCGTAAGATATGTTAATGACTTCCCGATGCTCGACTGTAAGTAATTTGTATATGTATGCGTTTTTTTTTTTTTTTTTTTTTTTTTTTTTTTTTTTTTTTAATTAAAGCTTTTTATTCTTTAATATTTTTTATGTATCTAATAATCTGTATTGAAAATTTGAATTTTATTACAAATGGACTATCAAATTATGATGTATGCCCTAGAATTGAATAAACTTTCTAATTACACAATACGGGGTCATACTGATCTTTGCGTCTTTCTCTGAAATACTTATTTCCTTGTTAAAACATATTTGACCACATATTTCTGTCAATTAACTGTTCACTTTACTTCCGATTTTGTTGTACGGAAACACATGTTTCTATTTGTGTTTTCTAATCAATTCGAATCTATAATCAGTTTAATGGGATCACCACCGGGTAAACGACTACTAGGTACTTTGGTCATGTTTTTTACCACAAATATTTGAATGTTTTCTATTGGGATTAAAATGAGCATAGTTAACTAAACAACTGTTTGTATAAATTCCTGACCTGTCTAATTCTAATTATGAGATTAGTGAATATATAAGACTTTCACTACAAAATATTCCTAAACAAAAGAGCACATGTTTAAATTTATTCCTATACAAATAAAAGATCAGAGTAGGGATCTGTCAATTACCAAAGATACTTTTATGTTAAAAGTTTGATTAATGAATTATGTAAGATGAAAATATAAGTATTGCTTTTTTTATTTTGCTAATGTAAAATGTAATATTGTGCTGGGATTTTGTCGGAGGTCCTTAGGGGTTTTGTAGTTAAATAGTTTTTTTTTTCGGCGATAATGGTTAAAGAATAAAATGTTTTTAAACTATATGTTCATCACCATCAGTGAATTTTTAGTTAAATGTATGCAAAATATTTACTAAACAGCTATATGATTTAGCGGTTTATGAGCGTTTTCCGCGTACAGCCTCCTGGGGTGTACAAATAAATTAGTTTTCCTTAGTTATCACGCAAGCATGATCCATGTCTCTGATGTAAGCGACAGTTTACAATTATTTGTCTTTAAAAAATATTAAGGACTATTAATAGTTTATAACAACAAAAGCACATGCATGATATTGAGAATACGTAGTTGCAACGTTCTAGTTAATGACCCGTCATAAACAGTTGGTCGCTGCGTAGTAATTGGAAAATTGTTATCAAAAATAATAAAGAATATTTGCCACTGAATTAAAGCATTTACTTATAAATTTTCATTTATGCTTTTTGTTAAAAAAATATGGATAAAGTTATTATTTTGAAGGGTTTTCATAACAGAACTATTTAATACAGACGTATACGTATGCCTAAACCTGATTACCGCGGCAGTATGACGTCACGGAGTAGTGATTTAAACAAAAATCAAGAATTTTTCAGAGAATTATTATCTTTACAAATTGCAGATATGAAATTAAAGAATGAAAATATTTTCATATTGTAAATGTCTGTGATGAGTGATGAGTCAGCTTAGAAAAAATCAAGGTACTATTTTTTGACCTGATTACCGTGGCAGTATGACGTCACGGAGTAGTGATTTAAACAAAAATCAAGAATTTTTCAGAGAATTATTATCTTTACAAATTGCAGATATGAAATTAAAGAATGAAAATATTTTCATATTGTAAATGTCTGTGATGAGTGATGAGTCAGCTTAGAAAAAATCAAGGTACTATTTTTTGACCTGATTACCGCGGCAGTAAGATTTGACAGACAGTTATTAACATTGGGTCGGCATAGCCTCCCCAAAAATCACTGTAAAATCATACATTTTTTCTCACTAAACATACTACCATATATTATAAGAATGCCCTAGGAGTGATTTTAAGGTCCTTTGTGCCTCCCTAGCAGTCCTTTGTGCCCCTAGGAGGTATTTTAAGATTCTTTGTACCTCCCTATCAGTCCTTAGCGGTCCACAATTCATCGAAAACATAAATTCTATCACCAAAATTATATTTTTTCTTAAAATAATACATTTTTTATCTATTAACTTACTACAATATAATATAAAAATGCCCTAGGAAGTAATTTAAGGTCCTTTGTGCCTCCCTAGCAGTTGTCAGTGCACCTGAGCAGTCCTTAGCGGTCCGACAACTCTTCAAAAACATGAATTTTATCACCAAAACTATATATTTTTTAAAATTATACATTTTTTATCTATTAACTTACTACAATATAATAGAAAAATGCCCTAGGAAGTAATTTAAGGTCCTTTGTGCCTCCCTAGCAGTTGTCAGTGCACCTGAGCAGTCCTTAGCGGTCCGACAACTCTTCAAAAACATGAATTTTATCACCAAAATTATATTTTTTTTAAAATTATACATTTTTTCTCACTAAACATACTACCATATATTATAAGAATGCCCTAGGAGGTATTTAAATGTCCTTTGTGCCTCCCTTGCAGTCCTTTGTGCCCCTAGGAGGTATTTTAAGATTCTTTGTACCTCCCTAGCAGTCCTTAGCGGTCCACCAATTCATCGAAAACATAAATTCTATCACCAAAATTATATTTTTTCTTAAAATAATACATTTTTGTCTATTAACTTACTACCATATATTATAAGAATGTTCTAGGAGGGATTTGAAGGTCCTTTGTGCCTCCCTAGCAGTTGTTAGTGCACCTGAGCATTCCTAAGCGGTCCGACAACTCTTCAAAAACATGAATTTTATCACTAAAATGATATTTTTTCTTAAAATTATACATTTTTTATCACTTAACATACTACCATGTATTATAAGAATGCCCTTACAGGTATTTTAAGGTCCTTTGTGCCTCCTTAGGAAATATTTTAAGGTCCCTAGCAGTTCTTTTCGCACCTGAGCAGTCCTTAGCGGTCCGGCAACTCATCGAAAGCATAAATTCTATCACCAAAATTATATTTTTTTCTTACAATAATACATTTTTGTCTATTAACTTACTACCATATATTATAAGAATGTTCTAGGAGGGATTTGAAGGTCCTTTGTGCCTCCCTAGCAGTTGTTAGTGCACCTGAGCAGTCCTTAGCGGTCCGACAACTCATAAAATTTTCACCAAAATCATTTTTTTTTTTAAATTATATTTTTTTTTCACTAAAAATAATACCATGTAATATAAGAATGGCCTAGGAGGTATTTTAAGGTCCTTTGTGCCTCTTTAGTAGTTCTTTGTGGCTCCTTAGCAGTCCTTAGCAGTCCTTAGGGGCGGTCCTTAGCAGTCCTTAGCAGTGTTTAGTAGGACCGTAAACAAACAGATTTAACTTCTTAGACAATTTAAATAAGGAATGGACACACGGTAAACTCTGTTGCAACGTAAAGAATATTCATAAACATGTTTGAGAAAAATTGTCTCCGTGTTCAAATAAATTTCAAAAACGGGGAAAAAGGCAGTCTTTTACCGATAACCTGCAACAGAATCTTATTATTCTGACGAATTAAATTGACTTTATAACGCTCGTATACAATTATTGATTGATCTACCTATCATTCAGTATGCAATCAAACAAAACCAAGTTTTCCTACATGCAAGAAAATTGTAAGTTAGGACGAGCTTTCAAAACGAACAGGTAGCAATTTCCAACACGCTTACCGAAACTCCAACATGGCGACTCAACGTGGCTCATTTGCATAATTTATTCATAAACGCAGGAGCATAGAACTTTGTTAGTGGGTAATTTACCTAAGCTAGTTAATTGTTTTTGACTTGTTATGTTTACATTTCATTTAAGTAAAAAATAATTTACTTATTAGTCACAAACGTTTCAAGATACTTACCGCAATTTCTTCAAATTTTGAGAAAATATTATCCGGGGCTATTTTCCGCCATATTGATTTACTCCAATTTTACAGCGCATGCGTATTGTAAACGAACACTACTAAATTATCGAAAGATTTTACAAACACTAAA